CCATTCGCCAGATGGGGTGTCGACCTGATCGGCCCCCTCCCTACCAGAAAAGGCGGAGTAAAATACGCGGTGGTCGCTGTGGATTATTTCACAAAGTGGGCGGAAGCCGAACCGCTTGCAACCATAACAGAACAGAAAATGATAGATTTCCTATGGAAGTCCATCATATGCCGCTTCGGGGTACCAAACTCAATCATCACCGATAATGGCAAACAATTTGAAGGAAAAAAGCTAGAGTCGTTCTGCGAGGAGCACCACATCAAACACTTCTTCTCGACACCCTATCACCCTCAGTCCAACGGCCAGGTCGAGGCAGTAAACAAAATAATTAAGCAAGGGCTCAAGGTCCGGCTTGAGGCCGCGAAAGGGGTCTGGCCGGAAGAACTCCCGGGCGTACTCTGGGCCTATCGCACAACAGCCAGATCATCCACCGGCGAAACACCGTTCTCACTGGCGTACGGGTCTGAAGCCATGATACCAGTCGAGCTCGGCGCCCCAACGTTCCGAGTAACCAACTTCGAGGAAGAATCCAACTCTGAGTCGCTGAGAGCCAACCTGGATCTGATTGACGAGCACAGGACGCAAGCCGAACTGAAAAATGCGGCGTACAAGAGACGGAGCGAAAGATACATCAACTCTCAAGTCAAACCGCGCTCGTACCAAGTCGGCGACTTGGTTCTCAAAAGGGTGACGGGGCCTGATCCCGGACCCCTCAAGCCGAAGTGGGAGGGGCCATACAAAATCCGCGAAGTCCTCCCTCACGGGGCCTATCGCCTCGAACATCTCGACGGCACCCCCCATCAGTACCCTTGGAACTCGGCGTTTCTGAAGAAGTTTTACCAGTAGGACGATCAATCCATTGTAACGTTTTTAATAAAGCAATGAAGAACACGTTGCAAAAATGTGATTTCCCCTCCCCTATATAAAAAATGTGATTTAACGTAAGGATCGGTGTCGGCCAGGATCAGTACGATGACCTGGTCGGCACCTCATAAAAACGTAAGTACCGGTGTCGGCCAGGATCAGTACGATGACCTGGTCGGCACCTCATAAAAACGTAAGCATCGGTGTCGGCCAGGATCAGTACGATGGCCTGGTCGGCACCTCATAAAAACATCAGCGTCGGACAGGGTCAGTACGATGACCTGGTCGGCACCCCGTGGAAACATCGCATCGGCTAAGAACCAACACGATGATCTGATCCAAGGGGCGAGCAAAAGCCGAGGTCGAACACGACCTCGGCACCGAAACCAAAAAGCCCGAAAATGAGGTTCAGCCTCAGCGGGAAATGTGCCGAGCTCAACCGCGAGCTCGGTACCCCGGGCACAGCGTCGAAGCCGACCTCAAAACCCAAACAATTAAGAACAGTCATCAAATAACCATGACATAATCAAAAAAGCATAAATGAATTCAAAAAACTAGCACGGCATAATCATAATACTTTAAGAGTTTACAAATATTCATCCAAAAGGTAACAAAAAGAAAAGATTCAGACCACACTCGGTCAACTCAACGGCACGCAGGCCGGCAAACCAAAAATAAACAAACTACGGATCCAACTCTGAGGGCCGCCCTCCAGGCACGAGTTCGGCCTCCTTGTCCACACCGGAAGTACCGGCCTCGTCCGCCTTCTTGGCCGCCTCGGCCTCGGCCGCCGCCTTCGCCGCTTCCTCGGCTTCCTCCATCTCACCGACCACCGACAGGACGGCACCTCTGCGAGGCTGGGCTTCCGAGTCGGGATCAGCGGCGAGCAGGAAGGGCTCGTACTCCGGCAACAGCTCCCCCGGCGCAAGCCGCCACGTCTCCGAACATGGGATGGCGCCGAGTCCTTGGAAGCCCACGACAACGTCGTGGGCCCAGCCCTTGAGCCGGCGCACCACAGTGGCCTCATCCTCGTCGACCTCACAGACGAGCCCCTCGCACTCCACCTAGAGCCTCGCCGCCTTCTCAACCAGGATCGTGCGGAAGTCTTCGATAGAGAGCAGCCCGGCGTCGAGCCGTTGGAACAACCAATGAAGGTTGAAGACGGCCGACTTATCCATGCAATCCCTCATCTCCTCGAAGTATTGGACGGTGACCTCCGCAAACGTCAAGGGTGGGGGCAAAGCGATGGGCTCGCCGTCGATCTGCTTGGCGGCCTCTTTCAGGAGGCAAACCTGGGCAGACATCCTGCTGCCGTAATCGGAGAGCTGGGACCTCGTCTCCTCGTGCTTTCGGTTGAGCTCGGCGATTTCGGCAGCATGGAGCTCAGCGAGGTGGACGAGGTCGGCTTTGTGTTTTTCCTCCACGGCGGTGACCTCCTCGGCTCGGCACCTCCTCTCCCGGCTCAGATCGGCTTCATGGCGAGCCTCGACCTCGGCATGCGCATGGCCCACTCCGCCCTCTCGCGGGCCAGATCTTCCACGGCTTTGGCCGCGGCCTCCTCCGCCTTGGCGGTCACTCCCTGCTGGAGGACGAGCTCGGCCTCGAGCCTCCCAACGCGACTCGCCTCATCCTTCAGCTCACTTACCCTCCCCTTATAGGTGGCCAGGTCTTCCTCGGCTTTGTCGTGGGCGGCCATCTCCCTAAGCAGGGCCTCGTGAGCATGCATCAGCTCAACCATGGTCCGCCCCATCGACGCCACCGAGTGCTGGATCAATTGTGGGGGGGAGAGCATTCCAGTCGCCACCTCGGCCACTGGGGTCCAAGCCGACAGCACGGCTTTTGAAGCGGAGATCGCCTGCGGAGGATGCTCGAACTGGTTGGGCAGATCGAACGGGATGGCCGAGCAGGCGTCAATGAACCACCGGTCTGGATAATTGGCCAGACTTTTGGAGAGCGAGGCGCGCCTCTCCGGATTCATCGGAACGTAGGTGGAGGCCCCGGCCTGGTGGACATGTGCCGAGCTCGAGGCGATCAGACCGGTCCCCGTCTCGCCGGCCCTCATCCTTTTAACCGGGGGCGACGACGGCCTCTCATGCCTCACCGGCGAGTCAGGCCCGGACCCGATTGGGCTTCCCTCGCGAGCACGGCCCCTCTTCTGGCCTTCAACCTCCGGGTTGGAGTCTTCACTCCGGCTGCGGGTCGGAACCGGGCCCCTCCCAGCTCGGCCCCCGGTTGCTCCTGAACGGCCACCAGTCCGGCCCCCAACCGGCCCGGCACGCCCGCCGGTGCGTCCGCCGGATTGAAAGGAGCGCGCGCCGGATGCAACCGACTGCGAAGGAGCCGAGACCGCGGGCCGGGACACAGGCGGAGCCGCGCGCGAATCCCCGGCCGAGGTGGAGCTCTGCCCTTTCTTGGGCTTCGACAGGAAAGACATCCTGCTGGCCATCTTCTTCCTTTCGCGTAAGGGGTGCGGGTTGGCGTGAACGGGTTTGTTGGCCTCTCTCACGGAACGGAGCCCGCACTCTCGGAGTAGGGGATAATAAACTGTCAACCAACTCGAGATCAGATGTCGGACTCAAAAATAAAAAATAATAAAGATGAATAGCCCTGCGAAGCGGAAATTACCTGGGATGGAGTAGCCGGTCTTGGAGTCTGAGCAGAGCCGTAGGTGATCAAACTCTCCTCTGAAATCAAATCGCGGTAAAAGCGCTCCTCCTCGTCAAGTGCCAGCAAAGTGCCGATCTTCTCCGCTAGGTCGTCGCTGGCGTCGAAGTGAGGGTTGTGGACTGAAATAGAAATACCGACCTGTTAGCACAGAAAAAACGCACATAATTAGAGAAAGGAGAGGAACAGTATGACAACTCACATTTGCCGGTTATGAAGCCGGTGTACGGGTGAAGGGCTGCGTCCGGCGCCTGCCATGCGCCGGAGACCCAGAACCATTCCGGCATGTAGCCGTGCAGCGACTCCGGGATTTTATTCACCAGGGACCGGTCCACCCCGGGAGCGACTGAGCTATAATAATTGCCGGTGGTGCCGGACTTCTTGAAGATGAAGAGAGCCCGGATGTCCGCGCTCGTGGGATCAGCCCAGCCTTACTTACGGAACAAGACGATCAAACCCATCAGCCGCGCAAAGACCGTGGGCACGAGCTGGCTGATCCCGATGCCGAGGTCGCTCAGGATGTCACTCAAAATGCCGGGCAGAGGAAATCGAAGCCCGAGGCGGACGCTATGGCGGTAGACCCCGATACAGCCCGGCGGGGGACAGTGGATGCGCTCGCCGGCGTACGGGGCGAAGATCTGGATGTCGGGGCCAAAACTCACCTTGCCCCGCAGCCTGACCAGGTCGACGTCCCCCAGTATGGACGGCGTATTCCAGGCCGACATCTTGGTGGCAGTTGGCCACGAGCGAGGGGGGCGACGCCAGCTCCCAGGAGGGGCCGACGTAGCGGCTTCGACAGCGGCGTCGGTCTCAGAATCGCCCAGTCCCATAGGGACCCGTTCACGCCCGTCGGTCTCGCCCTGAAGAGTCTCCTCGACTAGGCCGGGGTCGACGTCCGAGTCGCTGTCAGAGGGCCCGCCGTCCGGGATAGCCTTACCCCTACCGTCGGACAGGCTGGAGCTGAGGTCAACAACATCAACCACCGGGATTTGTGAGGGCATCTCCCCTAGCGGGTCGGCCGCCGCCGCCGCCGACGGCCGAGTCACGCGGACGGCTGTAATCGGCGTCACCCGGAGAGGTTGAACCGCCTCCGCCGCCGGCGGGGAGTAGACCACGATCTCGCCGGTCTCCTCCGCCGTCGGTCTCTCGCCCTCGCCGGAAAACGTGGGGTTCGAAAGGTTCGACATACCGCAAAAAAGAAAAAGGAAAGGGAAGAAAG